GTTGCCCTGCTGGCACCACTCAATTTTGAAGGCACCTGAAATAGTGTCATCAAATTTTCCTAGGGGCAGGTGCTCCGTGCAGCTGGCCTTTGGGTACTGAAGAAAACCCAACTGTGTTACAGTCTGGTGAACCAAGTACACTGGAACTAGGAAGAGAAACTCCTTTGTCTTACAGAGTTCTTCCGGTACCCTCAACTGACAAAACTTAACTCTGTGCCATCTGACATGGCAGAAAAATTTACAGTCCATCTCCATGACAACAGAGCAGGTAGTGAATGATGGGTCTGGCGTGAAGTGGCAATCAATTGCTAGGCCAATTATTCATGTGAACTCTTGTGAACTAGGACTCTTCTGATAGAAACTTGAGATAAAACTGAATCCTTTGAGTTCATAGGTTGCTACCTAGACCCCAAAGAAAGGAGAGTTAGAGACTTGACTGGTGTTTCCAAGCTCCTTGAGAATGAAAATTTTGACTTCATTCACTCATTTATTAATTAATTCATTCAAATGACTACTCTGTTCATAGAATTGGGGTTGGTGGTACAGAAGAGGCAGAATATGTAGTTCCTCGAGGGACAGGAAGTGATACAGGTAAAATAAGACTCTTGGTCTTCAGTAGCCTAGACTCAAATTATTCTGGAAGATATTTTGGTGTGAATGCAAATCCAGACATCTACTAAGAGAAGAAATATCCTGGAGTTGTCTTGAACACAATAAATAAAACAAAAATAAATTTATTTCTACTAAAATTTATTTTAAAAGCTTTTGAGTTGATTTATAAAAATACATACACTTAAAGAAATATTCACTCATTATCAGGAATGAAAGAAAGGGACGAAACTTAATATACTACTGTAAAACTAGGCAAAAGCTATGATTTTTCAATACTCAATCTAACTCTGAGCTTTCTGATAGCCAGAACTAACTTTGAGATTTCAGGTAGCTAAAAGTGAGAGTGAAGCATGATTATTTATACAGTTCTCACTATTAAAATTATGGAGCATATCAATTCCTTAGGGGTTGTAAAATTAATTTTGTAGTACTCAAAAGTGTATCTCTTACATGATCTTTTCTGTATTGAGGCATATTAGATCAGAGGCAAACTTTTATTTTGTTGACACACTATTGCCAAAACACAGGTGGTTCCTTTAGAACTAAGAGAATTAATGATTGATGTTGTTAATATTTCTGGGCTAAGACATATGTGTGATGTTCATAATCAAGTTTATTTAATACTGGTCCAAGGGAGACTTCATATCATGGACAACCATGGTATTTGGTTTACAATTATAGGATTTTTGTCGCACAGGAGGTTTAAATAGAAAATACCAATACCAATTTTGAAGGGCCACCCAAGTTCGCCACAGACCCCACAGCTCTCATCTTCACTCAGCTAACTTTCCCATCTGGCTCTTAGATGCAATATAACTGAATGGTTAAACATGGACTTTGAGATCAGATTACCTGAGATTAAATTTCCACTCTATCACTTACTAGATGTGAGATTTTGTAAAATTTACTCAGATTCTCCAGAAGGATAAGTTTTTCCATCTGTAAAATGAGAATCATAACCATGCCTACCTAGCAGTTAAAAAAAAAAAAAGATTTATTTGTTTGAGAGAGAAAGAGTGGGGGTTGTGTAGGGGCAGAGGGAGAGAGAGAGGGAATCTCAAGCAGACTCCGTGCTGAGCATTGAACCCAGTGCGGGGCTCAGTCTCATGACCCTGAGATTATGACCTGAGCTGAAATCGAGAGTTGGATACTTAACTGACTGAGCCACCCATGTGCCTCTACCTAGCAGCCTTTTGATGAGGTTCAAATATATTTAAAATTCTTAAGTACCTTAGAACTATGTTCAACAAGTAGTAGCTACTATTTAAGTGGTGACTTTTTAATATTCAAGTTGGGGACCTAAGAGAGTGAGGTGTTTAAAGCAAATTTGGGATGATTTTGTATGATTACCTTCGAATTGTTCAATTTATATCAGAGATCCTGTTCATTGAAATGATCCTGTTCTAAGCATTCTGATGAAAAACTCTAAATCATACCTCTGTAGTCAATTTTTTTTCACAGAGCATCTGATTTTTAGTATTCATGTTGATCTTGTAGTGCCCTGATTTTTGTTTTCTTTTCCCCCCAACTGGTATATTTCATAGTTTCTGTCCAGATTCTGTTGCCACCGTTCTTATCAAACAGTCTGTGTCAGTTTTATGGTTCACTTCTATATTTAGAGTGGGGTGGTATGGTTCTCTGGTTAATGGAAACTGCAAAAATGAGATGTATCGATACTGATTTACTTACATGTTTTCATGTTTTCTCCCCCTCCCCCGAAATTTAAGGCTAATTTAACTATTTGATTGGGCTGTACAAGGAATCAGATGCATGGTGGAGATGAACAAAAAGTGATCTAATGATTCCTTATGAATCATAGCTCAGCTTTCAGTTTCTGGGTACAGATTTTGTTCCAAAGACATTGGTAGACAGCTTGCCTGGCTGCAGGAAACTTGAAACTTTCTTGCAGTCTCCTCCCACCCTCATTCCCTAGGAACTGCCCCCACATGTCCCTCCTGTTATTCTTGAGAATCACTGGAGACCACAAGGTGTCACTGAGCTCTGCAGAGGAGTCAGCTCTTACTTGGATATTCTTGTCTCCCTATCAATTTGTTCCTGCTGTGGTCAGGGTTTTCTCTCATTCCCTAAGTTTGTTGTATGGTGTCTACTAATTGCATTTTTTTCTTTTTTCCTTTCTTATTGGTAAGCGGCAGTAAGTCAGTCAGTTACTGATGTGAGTAGTTGCTGTCAGTATCCCAGAAGACCATAGAGAAAAAGGGCGAAGTTTTCTGGTTCCATCTGCTGGAGAGAGTCTGTACTGCTTGTTTTTGTTACTAGATAAAGTTGTCTGAGATAAGCTAGAAAAGATCCCAGGTACAGCTGGACATTTTTCAGGAATTTGGCCTAAAGATAAAACTACTGTTAGCAGCATTGTGAGGGACTGAGTAGAGGGAAATTCTGGATTTTCAGCATGCAAAATGTCTTTTGTTAAAGTTGAGGGCATCAATTGGGAAAGACTGGGATCTTGAAAACAGGAATGGGGACATATGGAAAGATTCTAATCAAGCAAGCTAGGGACATGGAACCCTAAATTCTATTGAGTTTCCCCCCCCCCTTTTTTTTGCTAATTAATGTAGTCATTTCACCCATCCGAAGAGGTTAACCTTGCTTTGCTTGAAGCACCTGTAATGCCCTCCCTTAAGTAGATGGATTCTAGGTCAAGTGAACAGAAGTCTAACCTGAATTCTATAAATAAGAGATCATGTCCCTTCAGTCAATTTCCTGACTTGAAACATTGTACAGGCCCAGAATTTCTTTAATTAAAACTGGGAGGCAAGCTTTTGAGAAAGAACTCTATGAAACAAGAAAACAAATTATATAGTTAATTTTTCCCCATTCTTCCCCAAAAGGATCTATGACCATTATCCTGAATGACTATGCATTAAGGAAAGGGAAATAATTAGACTTTTGAGGAGTTGCTGGGCAGTGGCTCTGAATGGACACTAATTTCAGGAGACCCAAACCGTCATTGTATTATACTGATCAGAGTGGGGGCATAAGGAGTTCAAATGATGATTGAAGTTGTGGCTTAGGTCTGCTCATAGGTCAGCCTATTTTCTTCATCCATCAGAGACTTCTTTCTGGGAAGACCCTTCAGCTAAGCCCGTAGATGTCGGTAGCTTCTATCTCCTGAAGACTATAATCCAAGAACTCCTGGAGATATATATGTGTGTGTGTGTGTGTGTGTGTGTGTGTGTGTGTGTGTGTGTGTGTGTGTGTGTGATACATATATATGTGTGTGTCTATATATATAAATACATATATATATGAATATATATAGGAATGGACTTCCAAATTTGAGTGAAGAAAGAAAGTAAGGGATCATTCCCAAAATATCTGAGGCAAGATTAGCAAACTAATTATTCTGGGACCACCAAAGAATCACTTGCTAGACTCCACCCTAGAATCACATGAGTGGAAAACACCCCACCCCATGCCCTTTAGTGAAAGAATGTGAACCAGAATACCTGCAGTCATCAGCAGTGTCTGAATTCCAAGACCTTTGTAGACCACTTGCAGCATAAAGTGTTAGGTATTTTTTTTAAAAGATTTTATTTGTTTATTTAGAGGGGGCAGGTGCAGAGGGAGAAGCATACTCCTGCTGAGCAGGGAGCCCGATGTGGGGCTCGATCCTAGGACCTCAGGATCATGAACCGAGCAGAAGCCAGCTTCTTAACAGACTGAGCCACCCAGGCATCCCAAATGTTAGGTATTTTTGTGTCTATCCCTTGTACAAAGCAAGGCCTTGGTGATTATTGTGCCTTGAAATATTTTGTGTTTTCAAGTAGTTTAGTCTGAAAATCAGGCAAATACGTATTCTTATAGTTTTATAAACATTATTGTGCTCATATGATAAAACTTTTTTTTTTTTTTTGCTGGAATGCAGTGCCAACATACCACAATACAAAAGTTTTACCCATCAGTTTATATAACTGTCCAACTCAACATACACAAGTTGGTTTGTCGTTGTTATGATATGATGTGCAAGAAAACGTGTAAGTTTGTGATCACCATAAAGAGGGGAACATAAACATCACAAATAAAGTTTGTCTCTGAAGCATTTAACCGTTCACATAAACTTCCTTGGCATTTGTACGATTCTCTTTCAATATCAGTCTCCCATGCAGAATAATTCTTCAGTTTTCCCTGGCACAGAATGACTTACCAATTGATTCTCTGTTGTCGGGAGTCTCTGTTTCTTTTCCAGCCTGTCTCCCCAGCCACACATCAGTATTTTACTTCTGCGATCGCTTAGAGAAAACTTAATATACTAATATACTTAATATACTAAATTGTCTTTTGAGGATTTATTATGTGCTCGACAATTTAAAAGACACTAGAAATACAAAAACAGATATGGAAACCTTATGTAATTTACAGTCAGGTGAGGGTGGAGGGTGGAGAACATTAATCAAATATTCACTCAAAGATTGATATATGTAAGACCAAAAATGTGGTAAGTATTGGGGAAAGGACTATAATGTTGGGATATTCGACCTTGTTATGGAACTCAAGAAATTCTTAAAAATTCAGCTTATATACAAAGGATGTTTGAGAGTTCACCCAATGGAGAAGAGAGAAAAGAGAATTCAAGATATAGGGAAAATGTCTGTAATGCAGTCTGGTGAAATTCTGTATGAGTTCTTGAGATTTTGTCTAATGTGGCTGTGGTGTTGGGACTTTGGGTAAGTTTTGTGTAGACAGACACTGACTAAGTAAGCAAGGATGAGACCTAATGAGGGATTTCTAAGCTGTGTTACAGAGTTTGGTGTTATTTCAAGAAAGATGTTGAAGTGTTTTTCAAAAGAAAGTGTGAACTGTCAGTATATGTATTTTTTAAGTATCACCTAGGTTGCATGACAGAGAGTAACTGAAACGGGTTAGGAGTAGAACAGGAAGACCCTGTTACGGCAGTTATTTAACATTTTAATTCTTTGTTATTAAGATTGTGAAAACAGTGAAGAGAAGAGGTCAGATTTGAGAGATATTAGTAAAAAAAAAACAGGTGACAAGACTTGGTTTTGTGAGAAGTAGAGTGGAGAGCAGCCCGGAAGTGTGGGCCAGAGAGAAAGTGGTAACGAGACAGCCAGTTTATAGGTTGTGTAATTTCTTATATGTTGTGCCATTGACTGAGAGGCTAAGTACTGGAGGGTTTTTCCTTTTGTGAGGAAAGTTAATGAATTATTTTTATACATTGAGTTTGAAATGCCTTTGAGATTTTAGATTTGATAGGTTAAATAAGCACTAGGGTGATCAGGGAAAGACTGGGCCAGAGATGTAAATTTGAGAGGAATTGCTTTGTACGTCGTGGTCATTAAAGTTGGAAGAATGTAAGGATATTGTAGAGGCAAGATGTAGAGAAGACTGAAGTTCCAAAAATACAGGCAAAGAGAGTCATTGGTCATTGATTATGCAGATGAAAAATATATTCATTCTATCTACTCAGTTTCTATGACATTTCATTTCCTCTATTAGCCTTCCTACATCTCTGAGAAATAGTACTATACCCACACGAATGAACATATGTGTGTGTGTGTGTGTGTGCGTGTGCACACAGATAGAGCCCTCTGGACTCTGATATGGTCTGACATCAAACTTCATGTGGTGTCATGTGTCTTTTAGTCAGAGAAATGTTGACTGATTTTCTGCAGTGCGGATTAGAGTTGACAAATCCACTGGTCATTTTGCTCACAGTTTTGGTTGGTAACCTTCCTACAAGACACCTGGGCACATTTCATGCTCCGGGTTATCCGTTTTTCTTCTATTGGAAACCTATAAAGAAAGAAAATGCTTATCTTTACATCAGTATATGTCCAGAGACTCAAGAAAGCTTCAGAAAATACTTTCTAATTTTTAAAATAAAAATATGATCATGAAAACAACGTAAACAATACATAGTATGATGGGTAAAGTAATTCTTCCCACCCTCAGTTTTATTTCTCAAGAGAAGTTAATAGCTAATGATGGTTAGTCAGAGATGTGTATGGATGTTGCCAAAAGGGCACCTCTGGTTTGCTTATTTAGAAATTATTGAAATGAGCATAAATATATATTTTGTAAACTAAACTTGTGCTCTTATAAGAGATTTTACATTTTTCCATTTACCTCTTGAATAAGGTGATAAAATAAAAAGGCACCATTGGCAAGCCCTATTTCACACCTAAATCTTCTGAGTGGGTCGAGCGAGATTTCTTTTGTTTCTCAACTTTCCAACTAGACCATTTTATACATGTATTTATCAGGTCATGAGTCAGTCAGGAAATTTATACCTGTTTCTAACAACATCAGACGACTCTTTCTTGTCACACAATATGGGATTCGGACTGCAAGAAAGCTAAAAAACAATAAACTCACAAATGGGAGTCAAAAGGTTTGTTGTCTACCCAGGTCCATGACTGCCCTCCAGGTGGAATAGATAGTCCAATCCAGTAAAACACTGAGGTATTGAGGTACCGCCACAGGAAACTCTAAAGAGAATCGGAAATGTTACATGAAACAACTGACTGATCCTTACAGATACAAAAAACTATATATCTCTAGTGAAGCTCCTATGTGTTTGGCCCCGTGCTAGAAGCAGGAAAGGGGCAGGTAAGACATATCTCACATTTTTCTTTTCTTTTTTTTTTTTCAAAAAAGATTTTATTTATTTGAGAGAGAAAATGAGTTGAGGGGAGAGGCAGAAGGAGAGGGAGAAATGGGGATGGATCCCAGGACCCTGGGATCATGACCTAGCTGAAGTCAGACACTTAACCGACTGAGCCACCCAGGTGCGCCTACTTCACATTTTTCTAACAGATCAGAGCAGAGGGACAAACTACTGCCATGCCATGTGGCAACAATAAGGTGGAATTATGTATGGTTGCAGGAGATACTAAGGCTGTGAGGTCAAACTTCCAAATGCGTGTCCCGTCTCTACTGTTTACTACCATGCATCTCTGCAGTTATTAAATTTTTTACTTGTTTTCCCCAATCTCTGCAACTCAGATTATTATAGTACCTATCTCAAAGAGCTACCATTGTTTTGCTATTAAATAATATTATGATATAATGCCTGGCACATAATAAATTCTCATTACATAAATGTTAGTGGTTATTGTTAAGTACGAGTATGAAATAATATATAGAAGGAGGGGAATATACAGGGAAAATTAAAGAAAGCAAGCAATGTCTGAGCTGGTGTGAGACATACTGTTCATAGTTTCTGAATATCTCTTATTCTTTTTTTTTAAACATTCTTTTTTTTTTTAAGATTTTATTTATTTATTTGACAGATAGAGATCACAAGTAGGTAGAGAGGCAGGCAGAGAGAGAGGAGGAAGCAGGCTCCTCACTGAGCAGAGAGCCTGATGTGGGGCTCAATCCCAGGACCCTGGGATCATGACCCGAGCTGAAGGCAGAGGCTTTAACCCACTGAGCCACCCAGGCGCCCCATGAATATCTCTTATTCTATAGGAATATAACCCCTGAGCCATATATATGGCCAGATTAATGAAGGCTGTATTTCTAAGGCTCCCTTTTGGCTTAGCGTGACAATGTGACTGACCTAATTTCTGGCTAGTGAATTAGCCAGATACTGAAATTCTAATCACACATTTAAAAGCTAGGGCTATATCCTTCCATTTGTCATTTTCCTCTTTTCTGATGGCTAGCACATGGATATGGTGTAAATCAACCGGAAATAGGTAGACACAGAGAGCACCCTACTGTTGAGCCCAGAAATCCATAGCTATACGGACTACAATGTGGTTGACATGACCTATTGCATATATGAATAGACAGATTTCCCTCCTATTTTAACACTTTGAAATTGGAAACATCAGTCTATAGCTTGTAGCAGTTTAATTGGGAGCTTTGTTTTTGCTTTTTAATTGTGCTAATGCTTTTAAGTGTACTAATGTTACCTCTTATAATTAAAAGTGTTTTAGATTCAATAAACAAAGTACACAACTACCTTGTTTAAGCTCCAGTGATTTTGGTTCTCCCCCACCTGCAGCCAAACTCATATGCCAAATGTCATAACTATTTGTAGGAACATAAATAGTCATTGGCATACAAGAGAGGGAATAGTGTTTTTCCATTGAATTATCTTTGCACTATGGCCAAAAAATCAGTTGACTAAATTCTGGTAGGCCTGTTTCTAGTGTCTCTGTTCAGTTTCACTGATCTACATATCTCTCCTCTGCCAATTCTATACTATATTAATTAATTTTGCTTTCTAGGAACACTTGCATTTAGTAATGTACATTTTCCATTCTTCTGCTTGCTTTGGGTCTAGTTTTCTCTTTTTCTAGCCTTTTTTTTTTTTTAAAGAGAAGTTTAGATGATTGATTCTACATTATCTTCTTCTCAAATGTAAACACTCAATGCTATAAATTTCCTTCTAAGCTCTTTCTTAAGCAGAAACGTGTGACTTTTGATGTTAAAATGTTGTTTTCATTCAATTCATCATATAATTTAAAAATTTTCCTCTGATCACTACTTCTTTGACCCATACATTATTTAAAAGTGTATTGTTTAATTTTCAAATATTTGGGAATTTTCCAAATACTACTCCATTTCTAATTTCCAGTTTAATTTTGTTATGGTCTGACACATGTTTTGGATAATATCTGTATTTGTAATGTTTTAAAGTTTACTGGGTCTCCAAATATGGTCTGTCTTCGTGAAAGTTCTAGGTGTATTGAAAAAAAAGTGCAACCTGCTTTTATTGGATATAGTTTTCTATAAGATTAATTAGGTCAAGGATGTTGGCAGGGATGCCGAGAAAGGGAACCCTCCTATGCTGTTGGTGGGAATGCAAGCTGGTGCAGCCACTCTGGAAAACAGCATGGATGTTCCTCAAAAAGTTGAAAATAGAGCTACCCTATAACCCAGCAATTGCACTACTGGGTGTTTACCCTAAAGATACAAATGTAGTTATCCGAAGGGGCATGTGCACCTGAATATTTATAGGAACAATGTCTACAATAGCCAAACTATGGAAAGAACCTAGATGTCCATCAACAGATGAATAGACAAAGAAGATGTGGTGTATATATACAATGGAATGCTATGGAGCCTTCAAAAGAAATGAAATCTTGCCATTTGCAACAACATGGCTGGAACTAGAGGGTATTATGCTATGTGAAATAAGTCAACCAGAGAAAGACAATTATCATATGATCTCTCTGACATGAAGAATTTGAGAAGCAAGGCAGGGGGTCATGGAGGGAAGGGAGGGAAAAAATGGAAACAAGATGGGACTGGGGAGGGAGATAAACCATAAGAGACTCTTAATCTCAGGAAACAAACAGCATTGCGGGGGGGGGGAGGAAAAGCGTGGTTGGGTTATGGACATTGGAGAGGGTAAGTGCTAAGGTGAGTGCCATGAAATGTGTAAACCCAATGATTGACAGACCTGTACTCCTGGGGCAAATAATACATTATATGTTAATAAAAATAATTTTTAAAAAGATTAATTAGGTTGAATTGGTTGAAAGCATTGTTCAGGTTATTTATTTATTTATTTATGAGACTTGTTTTTTCAGTTACTCAAAGAGGAGTGTTGACAACTCCAACTGTAATTGTGAATTTCTCCATTTCCTTTTTTAGTTCTATCAGTGTTAACCTTGCTGCATATACATATATAATTGACCCCTGCTATGAGATTCAGGGGACAGAGTGGGGTAATATTATGGACTGAATTGTGTCTCTCTAAAATTCCTATGTTGCAGTCTTAACCCCAGTACCTCAAAATATGATTGCATTTAAAGTCACAGCCTTTAACGAGGTCATGAAGCTAAAGTAGGGCTATTAGAATGGGTCTTAATTAAGTCTGATTGGTGGCCTTATAAGAAAAATTTGGACGCACAGACACAGATGCACATACACAGAGGAAAGATCATGTGAGCACACAGTAGAAAGGTGGCCAGCTGAAAGCCAAGGAGAGAGTCATCATGAGAAATGAAACCTGCCAATATCTTGATCTTGGACTTGCAACCTTCAGAACCTGGAGAAATTAATCTTTATTGCCTAAGTCATTAAATTTGTAGTACTCTGTTATGGCAGCCCTGGCAAACTCATACAATCCCTTTATCATTGTGCAATAGTTCTCCTTGTTCTTGGGAGGGTCTTGTTTCTTCTTCTTCTTCCTCCTCCTCTTCCTCTTCTTCTTCTTCTTCTCCTTTTCCTTCTCCTCCCCCTCCCCCCACCCCCTCCTCCTTCCTCTTTTTATACCTCCTACTTGATTGTTGAAAGCTGTCTAGCATGTGGCGACTGAGTTAAATAGTTTTGTGGATAGAAATGAACACAGTTCCTTCTCCTGTGTCTTCAATGTGGGGTTTAAGTTTATCATTACGGGGGTGAGTGTGCGAATTATTGCTATCCTCAATGCACCACAGGTTTCCAATTCCTGTAATGTCTCGTGTTTCCTGGTTTTTGTTTGTTTGTTTGCCAGAGAAATGTCTGCTTGACCGGAGCATTTCAGTTTCCCTTTGCACCATGCCTCAGAGAAGATCTCTCTGCATGTTCTTCCTCCTCCCCTGCCCCTCTCGCAGCAGTGTTCTTCTCTACTTCCTGTTTGAAATCTGTTAGCGTGACAGTTAGAGGCAGTGGACGCAGTGGTCTTGTTTGTTCTGATTATGCCTCAGTCTTAGGCAGTCACTCATCCCTGTTTCTTCTCTGTGTGGCTTTCTCCCTTCTGCCACCCCTACCCTGCCTGTAACTGTGATCCCATCCAGTATTCTCGCCCCTCCCCATCCTCTTTCGCACGTGCAGCGGTGTTTCGCACCAGTTCCCCAAGGGCACTTGTTCTTCTCACCAACACATGCATGAAAGCTGTTGTTCCATAGTGCACAGGGCAGACTGGGGACAAGGATCTTGGCGGAATTCCTTGCCATTTCAACATTGCTGTTTTCTTCTCCCGAGTCTGGACCGCGAAGGACACATTCTTATGGTTCTTTCTAATCTTGAGAACCAGTGGCATTTACAGAAAAAAATAGCCTTCAAGGGGTTGTAGAATCCCCCAGTTTCTGCCAAGCCCAGGAGCTTCATTCACATTGTTTTTGCCCACTCGCACTCAGACTTAACTCATTTTTCAATTACTCTGACAGAACTCCCCTTTCTGATGTTTGGTGTCTGATTTGTGTGTTCCAAGTAAGTGAGGACGTGTCTTCTCTCCCACAGGTACCTGTTTCAGCAGAGATTTTGGCTCTGCAAACTTAACTTTCCAATGAATTTGAAACAAGCTGGCAATTTAAAGTTAATTGACTCTTTCTCATTTAAAAATTGTAGTAACATTTCAAGATCTTTGCATCATTGTGAAAGCTATAAACCTCCTTTCTTTTCCTGGTTTTTTTTTTTTGTTGTTGTTGTTGTTGTTTATCTCTTTTTCTCACTCTCTTCTTCTTACTCCCTTTTCCCCTCCTCTTTCTACTTTTCTTTCTTTTTTCTTTTTTTTTGCCATATGATGGCACAAGGGAATTCTAGATGGACTGATAATTCTCTTTGTTTCATTTTATTCTTCACTTATTTGAGAGCTAGAAAAGTATTTGCTAGAAAATTATTTTCTGGTTTTTGGAGGAATTATTTTTTCTAATATATATTTTATTTATTTATTTATTTATTTATTTATATTTCTTTTCAGTGTAACAGAATTCATTGTTTTTGCACCACACCCAGTTCTCCATGCAATATGTGCCCTCTTTAATACCCACCACCTGGCTCCCCTAACCTCCCAACCCCCGCCCCTTCAAAACCCTCAGGTTGTTTTTCAGAGTCCATAGTCTCTCATGGTTCACCTCCCCTTCCAATTTCCCTCAACTTCCTTCTCCTCTCCATCTCCCTATGTCCTCCATGCTATTTGTTATGCTCCACAAATAAGTGAAACCATATGATAATTGACTCTCTCTGCTTGATTTATTTCACTCAGCATAATCTCTTCCAGTCCCGTCCATGTTGCTACAAAAGTTGGGTATTCATCCTTTCTGATGGAGGCATAATACCCCATAGTGTATATGGACCACATCTTCCTTATCCATTCGTCCGTTGAAGGGCATCTTGGTTCTTTCCACAGTTTGGCAACCGTGGCCATTGCTGCTATAAACATTGGGGTACAGATGGCCCTTCTTTTCACTACATCTGTATTTTTGGGGTAAATACCCAGTAGTGCAATTGCAGGGTCATAGGGAAGCTCTATTTTTAATTTCTTAAGGAATCTCCACACTGTTCTCCAAAGTGGCTGCACCAACTTGCATTCCCACCAACTCTAATACATGTCTTTTTTGGAAAAGAAATATGTGTGCATAAATCCTATGCTGATTCCATTCAGATTCTTTATTTATCCATGAAAGAGAACAATTATATCTGGCCCATTGATTTGCTTAGGAATAATGTGAGAGAGGTAATCTGAACAGGAAGAAGAAAGTTTCTAAACAAACTGAGGGTTGCTGGAGGGGAGTGGGGTGGGGAGATAGGGTAACTGGATGATGGACATTAAGGAGGACACATGATGTAATGAGCACTTGGTGTTATACACAGTTGGTGAATCACTAAATTCTATCCCTGAAACTAATAATATACTGTATGTTAACTAAATTGAATTTAAATAAAAAATTTTAAAAAAAGTTGTCTCAGTTTACTGGTCTCCCTAGTCTGGTTAATCAATTGCCTAGAAGACATGTCTTTTCTGCATTTCAGCATCCTTCCCTTTGATGGTGAGCAGGAAATAGATGGGTTTCTGAGTGAAATCTTTTGTTGCATAATTTCTCCATGAAATGATTTATTATTTATCCCTTTCAGAGCATTCTCACGAAATGCTTTTCAGTTGATATCTGCTTCCCCTTTTTTGTCTTAAAATTACCTCTTGGAGAAGAAAATAGATCTCTTTTCAGCTCTTAATCTATCCTGAATTTGGCTCATATTTGAATCAATTTGAACTGCATCTGATAGACAGTCTGACAGTTTGAGATTTGGGGTTACTCTGGTTACAGCGAGACGATAGTTTACTTCTGCTCTTGTTTTTCTTGTTGTGGTGGATTCCTCTCAAACGCAGGAGACTTTTTTTTCTCTTCAGAAGTTTCAACAGCTGTGCTATCCACCCCCGATGGCTATGACTCAACCAGGGTAGTACAGCACTTCTGGTCACTGGATTTTCAGAACCAGAAGCTTTGACATAACTTGTTATGACAATATACTAATCCTCATGCTGATTATCCTTATTTGATGCTTGCTAATTAACATCTACATTGGCCTTATTAATTAAAGGTTTTGTGTCTGACATTCATGGAATAGAACTCCCATTTAAATTAAACCAGAGTTAACAAAGTATTCTGCTCAAGAGAGAATGAAATGTTAGTGACGACTATTCTATATTTCCTTTCTCTCAGTTATCATCTTAATTTTAGCTGCCATGATATCTGACTGCAGCCTTTGGGAACATTGCAATAAACATGAGAGAGGAGGTAAAATACTTACTGTCTTATATTTTAAAATGGAATCTAGTTAGCAGTGGGGATCTCTTGTGGAGGAGAACTTAGTTGTACAGTACCAAATGAATTCCTTCAATCCATAGCCCACCCCCCCCCAAAAGCCAAAAATAATCCTGTAGTTCAATGATTCATTCAAACAGTATTTGTGTAGTTAATAGCAATGAAGTTTAGAATTTATTTCATAGAAATTTTCAAATATGTGGGACGCCTGGGTGACTCAGTAGATTAAGCGTCTGCCTTTGGCTCAAGTCATGGTCCTAGGTTCCTGGATCGAATGCTGCCTCAGGTTCCCTGGTCAGGAGGGAGCCTGCTTCTCCCTCTGTGTGCTCTGCCTGCCACTTTCCCTGCTTGGGCTCTCTCTGACACATAAATAAATAATCTTTAAAAAAATAAATTTTCAAATATGTAGCCCAATGACTGTCTTGAAAATGTGAAAGATGCTATAATCTCTAAGTTTGATATCTCACCATATCAATGAAGTCTCGAATCACCAGGAGATGTGAATTTTTCATGGCGCAGTCATTTTTGCTTTCATCCCAAGATTTCTTATCTTCAGCAATCCAGTAACATTTCCCTCCATGTAGCTTCCAGTCTTTAGAGGGGCATGATTTGTGAGCAGTGGAGAAATTGAAAGAAACTAGAAGGAACAAGGATAAGTAATTAAAAGAAACCGTATCCCTAATATCATATACTGATGAAGTTAAGTGTCTGCCCTGGGTCATGATCCCAGGGTCCTAGAATCTAATCCTGCATCGGACTCCTTGCTCAGTGGGGAAACTGCTTCTCCCTCTGCCTGCTGCTCCCCCTGCTTTTGCTTTCTTTCTCTCTGACAAATAAAGAAATAAGACCTTTAAAAAAATGTAAGAAAAAAAAAAGAAATTGAAGTCTTAGAACTAGATGAAGGAGAAAATAAAGGGAAAAAAGGATAATAACTAAAACTTCTCTAACGTATTTAAATTTATAAATTTATACTTTCAAGAAACTCATCAAGCCCTAAGCAGGATAAATATGAGGAAAATCATATGTAAAAATAAAACAAACTGCTTAAAACCAAAGATAGAGGAAAATCTTGAAAGCAGAGAAAAACTGTGTGCCATTTATAAGAATACAACTATTTAAAAAGAAAAAATCCCTCATTCTCATCATGCATTGAGGGGAACTGAACATAGTGAAAAATATCTTCAAATTTTTGAAGGGAACTAAGAAACAGACTCTTAACTAGAGAGAGCAAACTGAGAGGAGGTGGATGGGGAATGAGTGACGTAGGAGATGGGGATTAAGAAGGGGGCTTGCTGTGATAAGCACTGGGTGTTGTATGGGACTATTGAATCACTGTATTGCATATCCAAAACTAATATTACACTGTACATCGACTAACTGGAATTTAAATAAAAACCTTAAAAAATTGTTTAAGGGAAAAAAAATCAACAAAATATTTCACATCCAATGAAAATATCTTTCTAAAAGCATGGCAAATTTAAGACACTTTCAGATAAAAGAAAACTAAAAGGATCCATTATCAAATAGTCACTACAATGAATATCAGAGGAAATTCTTCGGACCAATGGGAAATGTTTCTAACTGGAAACTTTCGTATCGGAGAGAGAACAACATCAGAAATGGCAAGCATATAGGTAAAAATAAAAGTGGAAGGTGAGCAATGTATATTCAAAGGATCCTTGCTCTTGCTTTCAATATTAAGTCCCCACACTTGTCTCAGTTGTACAGTTTTTCTTTAGATTGATATAATACACCAAATCCAAACCTTTCCAGGTAATAATGCCAAATATATGCTGTGATTATAGTTAAAGACAGCAACCACGCAACTGGGACTTTTAAGAACATATTTAATAAGAAACTACTATATTTTCACTTCTATATTTCTGATAGTAGATAATTTGACTAGATAGTATGAAGCAGGATTTCCCAACCATTTTTTAAAATGATTTTATTTATTTATTTGACAGAGATCACAAGTAGGCAGAGAGGCAGGCAGAGAGAGAGGAATGGAAGCAGGCTCCCTGTTGAGCAGAGATCTCGATATGGGACTCTATCCCAGGACCCCAAGAGCGTGACCTGAGCTGAACGCAGAGGCTTAACCCACTGAGCCACCCAGGTGCCCCAATATATACCTTTTTTAAAGGTATATATATTATTTTTTAAAAAAGAGAAAACTCTGATCATTGAAATTAGATTCCATGAATGAGTCCGTTGCTTGGACACAGGAAGAGAGGGACCTTGTAAGCTGCAGGATACACCTGGAAACATTGCCTTCAGCACAAATCGACAAGGAAGACAAAAATGGGATGGTAACTGAAATGGGGGAGCATAAGCCTATTGTACATCTAAATTCTAGATTTAGATTCTAGAAAGAAAATAGAGAGAAGGTTAACAAAGCATTAGAAATGATGGCTGAATAGATCAATTAAGTTTTACTTCACATATTTTAAAAGTTTTATTGTTTTTCTTTCCTGATGAATTGATCTAAGGCTCTAGGAGCGGTGGCTTACACATTTATAAGAATAGGATGAGGATTAGAAAACAGGTTTGGGGGGCCTGGGTGACTCAGTTGGTTAAGTGTGCTTTTGGCTCAGGTCAGGATCCCAGGGTGCTGGGTAGAGTCCTGCATCAAGTTCCTTGCTCAGTGGGGAGCCTGCTTTTCTCTCTGCCTGCCACTCCCCATGCTTGTGCTCTCTCCCTGTGTGACAAATAAAGAATAAAATCATAAAAAAAAAAAAAAAAAGAAAACAGGTTTGTCAGAATTTAAAGCTAGAGCTTTATTTAATACCACTGCTACTGCCTCTGTATTGGTAATAGTATACTGCAGTGCTTTTTCTCTGGGGATAGCATCTCATAAAATATGCCCTCAGAGTCACACAAGTTAAAAAAAGAAGAAGAACATATGGTGTATCAGATAGTTTTAAGAATGTGGTGAAGGGGACTTGGAAATATCAAAGTCCAATTTAATGTTTTAATGCATTCCCAGAATTTGTATGTACACGACATTATGGACTAGTAGGTCTTTCTAATAGAATTATACCTGGATGTTCAAAAGAAGAATGATATATAGTTTTTCAATATGGAGTTAAGAATTAAATTAACCAATTTTTTAAATACCCTCCCCAATGTCCATCGCCCAGTCACCCTATCCCTACACCCCCAACCCCAGCAACTCTCAGTTTGTTTCCTGATATTAAGAGTCTCTTATGGTTTGTCTCCCTTCCCAGTCCCATCTTGTTTCACTTTTTCACTCCCTTCTCCCCGTGACCCCCCTGCCCTGCCTCTCAAATTCCTCATATCAGAGAGATCATATGACCGTTGTCTTTTCTGATTGACTTTAAGAAATTTAAAGATGTAATAAAACCACTGGAAAAAAATGCAGAAAGGCTGAATAATTGTTTTCTTGACTTTTAAAAGTGTGCAAATATGAAAGAGCAAGAGAAAGATTAACATAACATTACCATTTACAATAATTTTGCATGTAATAACATTACCTAGTAAAAAAAATGAATATGTCATGAACTTTAAGAATGAAAATAGGGGTGCCTGGGTGTCTCAGTCATTAAGTGTCTGCCTTTGGCTCAGGTCATGATCCCAGGGTCCTGGAATGGAGCCCCTCATTGAGCTTCCTGCTCAGCGGGAGACTGCTTCTCCCTCTCCCACTCCCCCTGCTTGTGTTCCCTCTCTCGCTGTTTCTCTCTCTGTCAAATAAACAAATAAAATCTTAAAAAAAATAAGAATGAAAATATTTTGACTACATTCTGCACTTGTGTATGTGTATGTCCCAATTGAAATAAAAATGATAAAATGCAATCATTTCCATGAAATACCTTTTCATTAATCTAGAACTCTTTATAAGCTCATTTTCCTCATTTGTCTTGGATCCTTGAATATTTTTGTCATAGACTATAACGGATCCATAAAAAACAATGACCTTAACCATCCCTCTATAGGGTAGAGGAATCTCTCTTTTCAAATATATTCTGGTAAAACCGATGTTACTGTCCATGTCTCTGGAATTAGACAACATAAAATTATGTTACCTGTTGAGGTGATTGTTCCAGATTTATTTTTACCAGTACAAAATTTCTCTTTTGATTCATTTTCCACTGCATTATGTCTTGCATATTTCAACTGGATAACTGATGAAAGAAGAAACATATTTTCCTAATTAAATACAAGCATAAAACTATTGGGTTCTAGTGACTCTCTAATGTAGAAATTCTATTGTAAGTTAAATAATTAAAAACTTAAGGAGACAAACAACACTATTTTTCTAAGGCTTGATCTTTTCTTTGCATTCTTATTACTTTTATTAACATATTAATAAAATATGATCTGGGAGAGGAGGGTTAGTCACCTAATTTTTTTCTTGGAGTTTTCATATTTATTTTAATGAACACAAAATAACCAGCTGTGGTCATAAGCTTCATTTGTATAGCTTGGGTTTGGTGAGATATTGTTAAATTATGTCCAGTGTCACCTGATTCAGAGGGAAGATTTTATATGTTTTGGTTTGGTTCATAATTCTGGTTCTTTCAGGATTTTGCATGTAAATGCTACATAGAGAAGGGTAGGGCGAGCCCAGAGTAGTTTTTCTCCAATGAGGAAGGTATCTTTTTTTTTTTTTTTTTGAGGGCCATTTAACCGAGCTTACTTTTGGTAACTTCTAATTTCATAATATTGTGTATTATGCAATTAAATCTTTAAAATCTATTTTAGTAATGAATCTATTAGTAACAAAAATATTTTATTAAAAAACTGCTATGCTAGTAACAAACAAATCTATTAACTTAACAAAAAATATATAGAAGAGATTTTATTTTTGCTTCCCTCTGCCCTAATTTTTCAGCTGCAATTAGCTGTAAAATTAAAGCTTTTATTAAAGCTGTAAAATTAAATAGCTTTCTGGGGCTTAAGGTTTGTATGCATTGGCCTGTTCTAGGATTTCATCTGAAAGCCTGAATTCCTTGGAATATATATAATCTGTATATTACCTTTGTTCTATAGATATATGTGAAGAACTTTTCTCCAAACATTTATTCAATAATTAAAATATTTGCTATCTGAATATTGAATTATGCTCTTATGTCCAAAGTACGAGTACAATTTTTAAATACTCAAGTTAGTTGATTAATTGTAGGCAGATTTCTCACTTATTGATACAAGATTGATAGTGGCCAGGAGGAGCTAATATGAATAAACTTATATAGAAATATACTACATAATTTAATTTCCTTTCACCTGAATGTAGTTTTAGAGAAGCTTGTGTATAACTCACTATCAACCCACATTGTGTGATTTGATCACAAAATATAAACATATTCTTGACTTCTCTTTCCTTTATCAGTGAAATGAATCCATAATGACATCACATGCTGAAGGTCTATGAAAAAATCTCTAATTTTAATTTTTTCAAATTTCATATATTCTGTGAAGTTGTCCTGTATTGTTCAGGAAACACTTGAACAGCAAACACAATTACAACAGGTCATTAAAGAAAAATGCTTTAGGATAAATGAATAATCTTGATTAATTACTTACTCAAAATGCTCAGCACAATTACTGTTACAAATAGGGTGATGATCATTGCACATCCAACTTTCAGGAAAATGCCATGATGGTGAGAATCTACAATATTGGATAGATTGGACAGATAGAATTTGATCATAAGACCAGCAGTTAAATCCTTATATAGTTAGAGGTAAGAGAGAGCTAAATAAACTTTCTTGGTTATCAAGCTTCTAAGTTAATTTCCTTTGAAATACATAGACCCAGCTTCTTTTTGCTCATGTTCACACACACAGAGAACATATTTGGCTTTCCGGTTTGTGAAGAGGAGACTTATAAAACTGTGAATGGATATGAGTTTTTCTTTGTGGGTTCATCATACATGTTTCACAGCATTAATCTTACAGTGATCTGCTCTCTGCAGTCCTATGTTTTTATATAAGACTGAGAACCTCCAGATTCTCTTGTAAGTTTGTTGACAACACCCACCTATTTGGATCAATCCATTCTTTTCTCTCTTATGTAATATGCCTACTTTACATAGTGATACATAACAGTAATTGCATACATTTCACTCATTTTTATTTTAAAATAAAAGTACTTTTAGGGATTACCTTGTCCAATGTCTACATATTTATGTGGATATTCAAGTCCACAATTACAGTTATTTGAAAAGAGAGCTGAGATCAAGCCTCGGCTCTCTTGACTACCCAAACAGTGGCTGGTTTGCTGTCCATACTACCTCATTGTCTTTGGAGTACTCAAAAGATAAAAATAAATCAGGAAAAGAAGCAAGAATTATTAGCTTTGGCTGATGGTTAAACCAACAATCTCTAATCCAAAATAATTGCAGTATATCAATGCCACTAGATACATGACATATGCAAACATATATACAATACATTGAGAAAGTCATGAAATAACTGATGTTGAAATATAACCAATTATAAAGTCAAGCATCAAGACCGATTAACCTGAATTCTTATCTATTACTACAGAGAACTTTGCTCTATGTTCAAATGACTATTGTTGTTGAATAAAACATCTTTCATGGAAGCTTATTAATTCTCAGAGCATAAAATATCCATGTATTTTCATGTATCATGTAAAACAATGCAAATTGTGCCCATCAAGGCAATTGCAAGAAGAAGGGGATTGTATCCCTACATATGTTTTTAATATAAACAGCTAGGTGTGTGGACCTAAAAACTTACAGAATAAAATTTCAGATTTCATTAGAACACTGACATAAGGGTTATTAGGTCATTCTTTCAGGCCCCAAAGTAAGATTTATGAAAAGCACGAATTTCTCAATGTTTGCCTGGGATATTCCCAGTGGAATCATACTTTCCCACTAGTAATCTGCTCAATTTTATCATGACAGTCTCTTTGTTTTATCTTAAAGAACAAATGAATATGAAGATTAAGAGAATAAGGAAAGGGTCTCAACACATGCGAGGCTCTGAAGTGGTAAGGCATATGTAACTTCAAGGAGGAAAGAGGACAACAGCCAGAGCAAAATAAGTAAAACATAGGGAGTTAGAAGAGGAAAACTAAGACCATGTCATATCATATGTAGGGCTCTGAAGAACATGACAATAAAGTTTATCAAATAATTCTTTCCATTTACAATGATATGACACATGAGAACAGAAGTTTTATTTATCCTACCCTAGGGATATGCAGTGAAGTAATAAAATATTTGGCTTCTAGTCACAAGCACCATTGTGAGTAGGTAACTTAATCTTTATATATTTAGGTGTTCTCTTTTTAATATTAGCAGACTGGACCAGATAGCATTAAAATGGTATCCCCAAATCTCTAAACCAGGAAGGAAGTAAAGTTCTATCTGTAAACAAAAAGGAGATCAAACCCTGGAATGCAGAATTGAAAATACTAGTTTTGTTCCTTGAACTGAGCTAAAATAACTTCTGGGAAATTGGACTAATAGTATGAGAGTTTTTCTGGGTGGAAGAATAAGAAGGCAACTCTAGTCCACATTATTTTTAAAATTAAGTTCTATCTTGTCATTGAAAATGAAAGCACCCAGACTAGGGAAAAAAGAAAGCAGATAAGCTTTTATCGGACAAGGTCAGAGAGGTAATGTTTAAAAATAAGGAATAATATGTGTTCGCAATCAGAGAAAACCACACCTCAGATTTATTTAGTAACAGCAAATTAAAAAATATAAAAGAAGAAATACATTATTTGGAAATATAGTAAAGCAAAACATTATATTCATTACACAGTACAAATGCAATGAGACTGAAATTATGTAAATATTTTATATAAACTTTATAATATAACAAATTCTTACCCTAGAGAAAAGAACAGAAATGCAACACGAAAGTTTCCCTAATACTTTAGAGGATGAAAAAACGCACTGGATATGAAAATCTACCACCCTTTGCGGTGGCTTGTGTTTAAGGTACAATGTTATCCTTAGTTATGTACCTTACTCTTCGTATTCCACAAATATTCTATTACTCAGAGTTTCATTAATTCTAAACTTCATGAAATACCAGCATTTCATGTCCTCTTAGTTTAGTTTAACATTGTTATCCTAACATTTTGCAAATTTCAAAAAGATAATTAACAATGTGAATTATAGCCAAGTACTTTTTTCCTTTGTTTAAGAGAATTTATATTATAGTCAAAGGACAGATTTAATCAGAGGTACATGAAACTGTAAAGAAAGGGGGTCATAAATATAGAAGTCACTGTATAAATGTTCACTGTAAGAAATAAAAAGAATAGAAAGGCTATGAAAATCAAAAGCAAAGTTCAACTCATCCCCCTGCTCACCCTCCTTTCAGGAATCCTCAGTTTGTTCCATGCAGTTAAGAGTCTGTTTTTTGGTTTGCCTCTCTGTTTTTTTCTTCCTATATTCATTTGTTTAGTCTTTTAAATTCCATATATGGGTGAAATCATATGGTATTTGTCTTTCTCTGAATGACTTATTTCATTTAGCATAATACTCTCTAGCTGCACCCACAGTGTTATATGTAAATGATGAATCACTAAATTCTATACCTGAAACTAATATTACACTGTAGGTTAACTAACTGGAATTAAAAAAAAAAACTTGAAAAAGAAAAGAAAAAAAATTACAATTAATTTTGTCTGATTAAAAACATTCACTCTTATTCTTTTTTATTTTTATTTTTATTATTTTATTTTATTTATTTTAGTTTTCTTACACTTATTTTATTTTTTAAATTATTAACATATAATGTATTATTTGCCCCTGTGGTACATGTTTGTGAATCATCAGGCTTACACATTTTACAGCACTCACCATAGCACATACCCTCCCCAATGTCCATCACCTAGTCACTCTTATTCTTGCATTCAATCAACTTTTCTTGGAATCCAGCCTGCTAACTATTTAAGACATATACAAATGCAGGATAGAAATAAAGGAGATTAAAAGTAAAATATTAATTTTAAAAGGACACCTAAAGCCAACTTACCAGATTTCTGAAGTGACGATGAATTTTCTAAAGAAAAAGTCCTATCAATTTTAATATCAGCATAGACTATATCTCCAGCCATTGCACATTTAAAAAGAGAGAGAAGACCAAAAATGACATTCTACTGAAGGGAGTCTCATAGTTCTGCAAATAAACTTTCGGTAAGTCAAATAAATGGAGATGGACAATTTTCTTCTGCTCTCTCAAATTTGGTGGATTTCCTCTATGAATATAGGACAAAAACAATGTGTTCAGTCTTACCAATCAAGGAATAGATTTTTGAACACTTCATGATATGGAAGAAAACTACTATTCTTATAGCAGTTTTCTTGCTCTACAGTTAGTTTTCTAAGTTTGGAATAATTCTAACACCACAGAAGATATCATACCCTTTTTTCCCCTTCTATAAACCACTTCCTCTTTTAGTTCAGACATATATTCTCTGGCAGAAGCTCTGATCTTTCAACATTTTCTCCAACGTGGAATAGCAATTTGGAAGGAGGATGAAGAAAAAGAGATTTTATTATGGAGGTGATAGAAATAATTGATAGACTTCTCATCTTGAAATACATTGCATTTACCTAGCTAATACTTTTTTTTTTAACACCTAGGTAAAAATTCCCTTAAACCTCTTATTCTCTCATGTGCTTTATAATATTAGCATCAAACTGAGTTAAAGCATGGATTCTGCAGAGAATTTCCAAACTGGAAAATTATGTTTAAGAGGCAGAAATAAACTCTCAGTCAAAATAACTCAAGGTTGTGTCATAAAGAAAAGTAAATCTTATGTTTAAAAAAGGTTCATAGAATTTTCCTTTTGAGCACAATATAGAAAACATAGATTTTAATCTCCTGGTTCTTCTAAACCTCCATTAAAATTATATTAAAGGAATAAAAATTTAAAAGCCTCAAACAATAATGAAAAAGAAGTGAGTTCTGGCAGCTAAGGAAAAAAAATCAGCCAATTTCTGAAAGATAGAGATATAATCATGGATGAAACAAAGCAGAAGGAAGTGAAGTCTAGAATAAGCAGAGGGAAATACCTGAGGAGGGACCAACCACCTGCGAAACCCTCATAAGACTCAGAGCTCAGAAATATCAGATATGAAAAAATGACAGGAGGCATTAGTATAACCATTAGATTAGTCGGAATTCTGTGCATGAAAGAGTTGATTCCCTCAACACTCATCCAAATACATTGTGTAGAATTATTTAAAATGTAATCATCCTCACTACCTTGGATCCAAGGAATTTTATCTATGTTAATCAAATAGCTGGAGAACAGACCTTGGTTTTCTGGCATTGAGGGTTCCCTCAGTATAATGACTAACCTACAAGGCTTCTGACATAGAGTGAATATGGGAGGACCTCTGTCTCTCAAGATGGCTGAGACACTCTCTGTTTCCTGGGTTGTCTAACACTTTATATGTTGATCTGTATTTTTTACATGAAAAACTGACTTTGAGAGGTTATATGCAAATTTTTGCATGAACAGTACATTTTCAGAGTGAACTCCTATCAAACAGTCCAAAGCCCACACTGTGATGTGATAATGCTTTCTAGATTTTGAGAGTGAGAATCACATTCTATTATTCTTATCTGTTATATTCATCACTCAATCTATGCCTGAAACACAACAGATACTTGTTAATTGTATGTTGGGTTACCAAAACAGTTAATGTTATGTTGAATTTTATTACCGTACTCTTAACATTTTTCCAGAATGAGAGCAATGATTTTTGACTAAAAAGTAGACTTCTATTCATATGAAAAATACTATTGAGAGTTCAATCATATAAAATTAAAAAAATACTAGCATGTAGAGAATCTGCTATAAGTTAGGTAGTAAATCCTTGGGATATCCACATTTAATATTAATAATCTCTGTCTCCTCTCTATGTCCAAAGTAAATAACCAAAGAATGAGTTATGAAGTAATCTCTAACTTTGTTGAGCTTTAACTTTGATTGAGTGTCATGATTCTCGTAGGTAGGGCTCCTTCAGCCAGAAAGACCATTTTATAGACAGTCAACAGATGGGTTAGTTAAATAGTGAGATATTAAAAATAGTGGTGGCTTGCAATGTGTGTCATTACATAATAGAAATAAAATATGTCCAGAAACAAGGTAGAACTGTTCAGCTAAGTACCCTAGATTCATCTAATATTCATCAGATGTATATGACAGCTTAAAATGGTATTCTCAAATTTGGTGACAACTTTCCCAGTCTATAACTTTTTATATATTGAGTTCAATTTTTAAATATTGAGTTCAGTTAAGCATTAGTGATTAAAATATATGGTGTTGGGGTGCCTGGGTGGCTCTGCCTTCAGCTCAGGTCATGATCCCAGGGTCGTGGGATTGAGCCTGCATTGGACTCTCTGCTCAGCAGGGAGCCTGCTTCCTCCTCTCTCTCTCTGCCTGCCTCTCTGCCTACTTGTGATCTCTGTCTGTTATATACATAAATAAAATCTTTAAAATATGTGGTGTTATCACTATTGATGGATACCAGATCTAACTAAATAGTATGCATTTGAAATGTGTCTTATCCTTAATTTTAATCATTTTATTAATTGTGTTTCTATGCATGGATTCCAAGTGGAATCCTCAATCTTGGCATATTTTCTGGAGTAAAAGTTCTAAATTCCAACTGCCTTCCAATACCTCAGACTCAAAATAATCAAAAGTAATCCAATTTCTCCTCTCCTTCCACTGTGTCGCCCCTTTTTTTCAGTTGCCTCATTACCTTTGCAGAAACTCAGGCTTAATATCCCTCCTTTGTATACCTCCTGTCATATTCCAAAATGTATGTGTGGGTGAGTGATGGACAGTAGCATATAATAATTTATTCATTTGAGATGGAGTCCTTTTCAATTTAGAGGAGCATTTGATTGAGAACAGGCTCAGAGAAAGATAATGCCATGTGGGGTGAGGAAGGAAAATACAGAGAATGATTAAAGGTTTACCAATCATGTAAGTAAACTCTTTCTGTAATGGTAAGCATGTGAAGTAGAAAAATGTACTTCTTTGTATACTTTGAAGGGAAAAAAGTTTTGTTTTGCAGATTGGCTAGACCTTGGGTAGTGGGAAAGAATTATTAGTCCTGTGATATATTTGTATCCATTTGTGTGTGTGTGTGTGTGCGCTTCCGTGTGTATGTATGTATGTGCATAGAGATTTTTAAGGTTAATGATATATGAGATCTCTATCTATCTATCCAGACATAAACACTTTATAAAGTGTGTGAAAATTTTTAAAAGTTTTTAAAATTTTTTCATTTGAAAGAGAGAGAAAGATAGCACAAGCAGGGGTAGGGGCAGGGGGAGAGGGAGAAGCAGACTCCTCACTGAGCCAGGAACCTGACTTGGGGCTCGATCTCAGGACCCTGAGATCATGACCTGAGCCAAAGGCAGATGCTTAACCATCTGAGCCACTCAGGTACCCCAGCTGTAAGAAATATTTAATTTTATATGGAAATGATATTGTTTGCCTTTTTTCGGTAATGTATAACTCTCTTAATTATCTAATTATTCTGGATTAGTTGTTTTCAACCTTGACTGGACATTGAAATCTTTTGGAGACCATTAGAAAAAGGATGTGGGGAAACAGGAACACTTTTGCGCTGTTGGTGGGAATATAAATTTGTGCAAAACAGTTCCTCAAGGAATTAAAAATGAAAATGCCCTATGATTCAGTAATTTGGTATTTACAAAAAGAAAACAAAAACAGTAATCTGAAAAGATATATGCACCCCTATGCTTATTGCAGCATTATTTACAATAGCCAAGATATGGAAGCAGCCTGTGTCCATCAACAGATGAACGGATAAAGAAGATACACCATTTCCATCAACACGGATAGACCTAACGAGCATTACGCTAAGTGAAATAAGTAAGAAAAAGAAAGACAAGTAGCATGCGATTTCACTTATATGTGGAATCTAAAGAACAAAACAAAAAGATGAAAGACAGAAACATACCTGTAAGTACAGAGAACAAACTTTTGCTGCCAGAGGGAGGGGGTTTGTGGGATGAACAAAATGGGTGAAAGGGAGTGAAAGATACAGGCTTCCAGTTATGGAATGAGTAAGTCCCAGGGATGAAAAGGCACATTATAGGGAATGTAGTATTGTAATAGTGTTGTATGCTGACAGATGGTGGCTACACTTGTGGTGATCACAGCATAATGCTTAGACTTATCAAATTACTGTTGTATACCCGAAATGTAGCAGTGTGTGTTACTTATGCTCCAATAAAAGATAAATTGAAATAAAAATAAGTTTAAAGATAAATAACAATAAATAAAGTTATTGCCCAAAAAAAGCCTTCAGTCAATCCCACTCCTGTCAGTAAAGTGAGAAATAAAAGACAAGAAAGAAAAAAGAATAAATATGTCATAGGGATGTAATGCCTAGAGTGGTGATTACAGTGATAATACTGTATTGTATATTTAAAAGTGGCTAAAATAGTTAATCTGAAAAGTTTTCCTCACAAGAAAAATAATTTCTGGTACTATGTATGGTAATAATGTTAACTAGACTTATTGTGACAATGGTTTTCCAAGATATATACAAATACCGAGGGACGCCTGGGTGGCTCAGGTGGTTAAGCCACTGCCTTCGGCTCAGGTCATGACCCCAGGATCCTGGGATTGAGTCCTACATTGCGCTCCTTCGTGGCAGGGAGCCTGCTTCTCTCGCTGCCTCTGCCTGCCACTCTGCCTGCTTGTGTGTACTCTCTCTTTCCCTGACAAATAAATAAATAAAATCTTTAAAAAAAAAACCAAAAAAACAAAAAACAAATACTGAATCATTCTGTTGCGCACCTGAAACTACTATGTCAATTACACGTTATTTTAAGAGAGAAAAAAAAATGATGTATGGACTTTACATGAGGAATTTCAATTTTCATTTGGGTTGTGTCCTGAACATTAGAATTTTAAAAATTTCCTTTATATGTGATTCCAAGGTTGAAAACTGTCAAACTCTCACTTGTGAGTTTGGAGTGAGGTACAGATTTTGCAAAAAGAAGAAGAAAAAATCAGACAGCTGTGACAGAAGCAGAAATAGCAGCACCACTGACAAAGAAGAGACCAGAATCCTATACACCAAAGTACCCATGAAAACAAGGTTAGTAACTTTCCCAAACTGGCGAAATGTCTTAGTAATAGACACCAAACCCAAGGAGAACATGTGACTCTCCTAAGTTAGCTTTGGTTTCTTTTTCAAAACAGAGCCCATGACTCAGTGTGAACTAACTGAAATGCATCCATGGATTGCTTTTGATCCATGGG